TTAAAACTAGTAATCACTCCAAAGAAAATATTTTTCAGCTTTAATTTATTGAAAATAACTGTTGTTGTTGTTTTCTTCTTTTTCAAATCACGATATTAGCGTCATAAAATTAATAACAATAATATGACTCAGGGAAAAGTAAAAAAAATTATTATGGAAAAATTATGTAAAATGAAATAAATTGGAAATATTACATATATTTATTATATACTTTTGTTCACTTTGGACGTTCACTAGGACTTGCTATACTGAGGGTAGAGAAACACAATTTCCAATTAAAATGCATTTAACGTAACGTAATGTTTACATTTAACAATACGTAATAACGTAACATTACGTTACGTTAAATATATTTTAATTGGAAATTGTGTTTCTCTACCCTCAGTATAACAAGTCTAGTTCATAAGAACGTCCAAAGTGGACAAAAGTATAATGTAAATAATTAAAGACAAGAAGCACATATCAGCATTATAGATATTTAATTGAATTTTAAACATCTTTCAATAGATTTAACGTGTGAACTATAATTTATTAATTTGAAAGAGTATTCTACAGGTACTGTACGTCGATAATGAATTAATATGTAAAATCATCATTTCATTAGTAATATATTACCATTTTCTATATTTAAATAACAAAATGTTAGACTTTCTTATTCTTTGCTTATATGTATGCAGCTTCGAAAAACTACAGGGAAGACCAAAGAGGACAATTTCTTTCATAGGATCCTCGCTATAGTCCGAGATAACAGCTTCAGGCTTTATTCTCTCTTGATCGATTATTCCACTACAGTATATTTAACAGTTTCCTTTATTTTTTTCTGTTTTAAATAGACATACAGTATTTAGAATTTTGTCGTTTAAAGTTTTTAAAATGAAAATTTATTCTATAAATTTTACAATATTAGATCGTTTAATTAGAGATAAACGCATACGTTTTTTTACTTAAATTAAGTTTCAAAGATTTCTTCTTCTTTAAGACTATTTATATCTATATATCTTACGTTATTAATCGTCCATATATTCTTAAAATCGATAAAATCCAGAATTTGATAAATTATATTAAAAGATTAGGCTTTTATATGTAAGAAAGTTAGATACATAAAGAATAAAATGAAACTATCGTGCAATACTGCAATCCAATAATTATTTTATTATCAATATTTGTTTACTGTTTTGTATAATTATTACGAATAGAATTAATAAAATATATATTAAACAAAGGTCTATATAGTCTCTTTACGTAAATACAGTATTAAATAATTTTATGCTTTTTATCATTTTAAAATTAACATTGAGTAGTTATAATTTTTAGTGTTCAATAGCGCGATTGTAATTAAATATTAACAATTTAAATGAGTGCAAAATATTGAAAAGCACACAATACATTTTCATTTTTAAAATAGCATTTTCTGGATACAGTACTTAATCATGAAACTGTAACATATGATTAAATGCTCTTTTATTTTTTCTCCTCGGGACGTTAACAGAAACCATTGATTAAGTCGCTTTTTGTGTAGTTTTTTAAGATTAAGCTTATGCTCTATATACTTCAAATACATGCCTGTGTTATTCTATAAGATAATGTAAAGTTTAGAAATGATCTATCAATTAAATATTTATCATTTATAATAATGATCGTAACTGGACATATTTTAAATTGTAAAAATCTGTTGTGTAACGAAAAATATTTTGGGGGGTTTATTTAATTATTTTAACTGTAAAATTTAATTTTTTATGTTAAAAATAATTAGATGAATCTTAAAACCGATTTATAATTTTAACTTTTTTCCTTATAGTTTCAAAGGTTGAAAGCAGATGGCGCGCATTTGACAATGAATAATGATTTGTACGGTTATAAATTGTCGCCATGTGCAGTTTTGTATGGATTTTGTAGCTTTGCTATAAATTTCTGGACGAGTATTATAGATATATTATTATGTAGTTGATTAATACATGCGCAAATGCGATAAAAATCATCGCTAACGTTAGAAATAGTTTCAAGTATGCACGCCGTACATACCTAATTAACCAATTAATTACTGATAATATATATCGTCCGAAGAAAGATAATTTTTCTGTAAGCCATTTATACTTTTCCTCAATATCTTTTAACCCTAGGGGATCTTGCAGAATGCTTCGGGCTTTCAATTTATAATTTTAGACGAGCGAGCACAACCTTCAGTAAAGGATGAGCAAAATACTTTCACAGCAATAGAAAATGATGGAAATTCATTAAAGAAGGAGAAAAAAATTAATTTTCTTAACACGTTACAAAATCTCCTCCCACTTGAGCATGTCAACGGAGACATCACGTTTCCATTTCATAGTACAGCACAAGAACATGTAATGTTTGGAATTTAGCAGTTATCTTCTAGCTTGTTATTACCTTTCAGACTTTATCGAGGGATTGCATAACGACTTTTAAGGTCACGTTCGGCAGGTGGTGAGGTCACTGACGTCATTCAGAACCCAAATAGTTATTTCATCGTTACATCTTGTGGAAGGATTTGTAGTAAATATGTAATATCGAACATTTTTGCATACGAATTCGGACAATTTCGTTTCGAAAATCCATTTCCTATTTAATGGTTTTATATGATTTATGACGTCGAAAATAATAATGCAATTAAATATATCATAAAGAGATTGTTGTACAATTTTTGAAAGTAAATGCAGGGCAGGGTTTTTTTTCTTTGCAAAATAAAACAGCACCTGTAATTGCAACCTGTTTTCTCGGCTTGGGAGTTCTCACGTCTTATATAACGTTCAGGTAGACTTAATAACCTACTAGGTTTCCACTAGTAATTCGAGAAACTTTTCTGTAGATGACTCCTTATCACAAATTTGTGAAGGACCATCACTACACTTTAATCATGTGATTTTGAATAATGTGTGATAGTTGTGGAAAACATCTAACCGGTTCTTGGCTAGGGAATTCAACTATCGTTGCGAGTTTTCATCTGTTATTTGTGTGGTTAGAAGTAACAATCTAGTAAATCGATAAGCTTTTAGATATAAAGCGCATTTTTAAATTTAAAGGAATAGCTATTAAAAATACATTTAATGTTGATAAAACTTTAAATTTTTTATTGAATAGTTATGAAATAAAACTATATTTAGCAATTTCAAATAATATTTATAGAAACAAATCTCTCGTAATAAGGTTTAATTTACATTGATACTGAAGTAATTATTTATATAATATTTAAAATGTGTTTTGCTATGAAACAAATGTTAATTTTTAATTATATTATTCGATATGTCTCAATATTTTGGAAAAGCAATTTTTAAATACCAAATTAAAAGTTAATAACTTATTATAATTCATATTTTAAGAGAAAAAATGAAATTTACGAAAAGTTTTTCGACTATAGTACTGTATATAACATACACATCTTTTTGTTCAGAAGGAAAATAATAACATGCAAAATAGTTTTTGACGTTGATATAAATAAAATTCATGTTTAAACAACGATTAAGTTCACATATAATACAAAACCTAAACGTTTATTTTATATAAATATTAGTTATTTACGAAGAGCTTCTTCATCCCTTTGGCCTTGGACCGTCAACCTCGATGGGACTCCGCCCTGGACACTTAACTGTATTAACTCGCAGATTAGGATCAACTCTTTGAGAATTAAAACATTAAAATTTCCTTTTTTTATAAGCAGATGGTTATCTATCTCTTATCGACTTCAAATAATTTTAAGTACAGTATTTTGACATTTTTTGAAAATGTCCAGAAATTAAAGTGTAAAGCAAAAACGAAAGAAATGCTTAGAATTTTTTCTCGTAACCTTTTAATTAACAATATTTCTAGCGAATAACTCTTAAAAGTTTAAGTAAAATCTAATTTATGAAGAAAATTATAAATCTTTTAAGAAAAAAGTTTTTTTTCGAATTTTTCTAGCTCGTTTTACATTAACATTTAACTGTTTACATATTTCAAGCTTATTTGCTCAGAATATATGAATTTTAATGAGAAAATAATTATGTCAGTTTATAATTTATACATCATAAAATTAGCTAATTTAATTTTTTTTAAATAATAATTATTATATTTTAATAACTATAATTATATTTGTAGATTTATACACTAATACATAAAGAATAAAATGAAACTATCGTGCAATACTGCAATCCAATAATTATTTTATTATCAATATTTGTTTACTGTTTTGTATAATTATTACGAATAGAATTAATAAAATATATATTAAACAAAGGTCTATATAGTCTCTTTACGTAAATACAGTATTAAATAATTTTATGCTTTTTATCATTTTAAAATTAACATTGAGTAGTTATAATTTTTAGTGTTCAATAGCGCGATTGTAATTAAATATTAACAATTTAAATGAGTGCAAAATATTGAAAAGCACACAATACATTTTCATTTTTAAAATAGCATTTTCTGGATACAGTACTTAATCATGAAACTGTAACATATGATTAAATGCTCTTTTATTTTTTCTCCTCGGGACGTTAACAGAAACCATTGATTAAGTCGCTTTTTGTGTAGTTTTTTAAGATTAAGCTTATGCTCTATATACTTCAAATACATGCCTGTGTTATNCTTCTGCAATATTTATAAAGTAACAAATTATTTATAAGAACATGCGTATCCTTGTGTATATTTTTGAGAGAATTCTTATAATGTATTCTTTAGGAACAATAGGAACAATAGATCAATGCATAAAATGGTATATCTATAATGCTCTATATACTTCAAATACATCCTGTGTTATTCTATAAGATAATGTAAAGTTTAGAAAAAAAATTGGCTATTTTTTTCTATAAAAAAGTAATTTTTTGATAATTATACAAACGAATTCGGAAATTATTGTAACATAAAAATGACTAAAGTACTTTAAGTTAATTAATATAGGCCTAAATGAAATTAAGTCAGAAAATTTACATTAATCGAAAATTCTTTCATCAATATTCAAGATAATATATTGTATTTATATAAAAAAAAGCAATATTATTACTATCGTCCACGTGGCCTAATGGATAAGGCGTCTGACTTCGAATCAGAAGATTGCAGGTTCGAATCCTGTCGTGGACGTTTCTAACTTTTGTCTTTTTAATATCTATGTAAAGCGGAAATTTTAAAATATATTTCGAATACTGAAGAAGTACTATGATTATTTGTTAGACATTTTAGGAACATAGTTAAAAATTATTAACTGTTAATACGTTTTAAAATCTAAAATGAAATAGAAATTAAATAATATATAGCTGATGATACCATTTATGAATAAGCAGTTTGTCTTTATTTAATTATTCTTTTCAGAGTTAATAAAAATAAAATATTTCGATCTTTAAGAAAGTTCTCTGCTTTGTCGTCATAAAAAAATACAATTACAGTATATAAATTTATATAGAGACAAATAAAAATATAAAATTATAAATAGTGGATTGTATGTCTATGGATATATAGTTCATAATTTTATGCTTAGTAAGGCTTACTTTTATAAAATTATATGAGAAACTATTGTAAAAATTGATCTTACTTTTAACCATGATTTTCGTTCGTCTATCCACACATTATTCTTTTAATTTGAATCAACTATAAATTAATTATTAATATATTAATAATAGAATAAAGTTTCAGTTTTTACTTTTTATTTTATAATTATTAATGAATTAATTTCTAGAATTTAAGATAATGCAATCACTATTACCGTACTTGTAGTCCCATATTACACCTATGCTGCTTCACGACAGAGAAAAATAGTTTGACAAATTAAAACTAGTAATCACTCCAAAGAAAATATTTTTCAGCTTTAATTTATTGAAAATAACTGTTGTTGTTGTTTTCTTCTTTTTCAAATCACGATATTAGCGTCATAAAATTAATAACAATAATATGACTCAGGGAAAAGTAAAAAAAATTATTATGGAAAAATTATGTAAAATGAAATAAATTGGAAATATTACATATATTTATTATATACTTTTGTTCACTTTGGACGTTCACTAGGACTTGCTATACTGAGGGTAGAGAAACACAATTTCCAATTAAAATGCATTTAACGTAACGTAATGTTTACATTTAACAATACGTAATAACGTAACATTACGTTACGTTAAATATATTTTAATTGGAAATTGTGTTTCTCTACCCTCAGTATAACAAGTCTAGTTCATAAGAACGTCCAAAGTGGACAAAAGTATAATGTAAATAATTAAAGACAAGAAGCACATATCAGCATTATAGATATTTAATTGAATTTTAAACATCTTTCAATAGATTTAACGTGTGAACTATAATTTATTAATTTGAAAGAGTATTCTACAGGTACTGTACGTCGATAATGAATTAATATGTAAAATCATCATTTCATTAGTAATATATTACCATTTTCTATATTTAAATAACAAAATGTTAGACTTTCTTATTCTTTGCTTATATGTATGCAGCTTCGAAAAACTACAGGGAGGACCAAAGAGGACAATTTCTTTCATAGGATCCTCGCTATAGTCCGAGATAACAGCTTCAGGCTTTATTCTCTCTTGATCGATTATTCCACTACAGTATATTTAACAGTTTCCTTTATTTTTTTCTGTTTTAAATAGACATACAGTATTTAGAATTTTGTTGTTTAAAGTTTTTAGAATGAAAATTTATTCTATAAATTTTACAATATTAGATCGTTTAATTAGAGATAAACGCATACGTTTTTTTACTTAAATTAAGTTTCAAAGATTTCTTCTTCTTTAAGACTATTTATATCTATATATCTTACGTTATTAATCGTCCATATATTCTTAAAATCGATAAAATCCAGAATTTGATAAATTATATTAAAAGATTAGGCTTTTATATGTAAGAAAGTTAGCATTATATTCAGTCTTCAAACTTTTAAGAAGAAAATTAGAATTAATTTATCTTTATAAATTGAGTTACTTTTAGCATAAAGCGAAAACTATAGCCTATCTCATAGCCAAATGAATAATATAGTTTTTATTCAGTAGCAGGCCTGTAACATAATTTTTAACATTTTTAATTTACATATTTCGATTATATAAATTGTTTGGAATAATGAAACACTGTTTATAATAGTTTAATTATTCTTCTGCAATATTTATAAAGTAACAAATTATTTATAAGAACATGCGTATCCTTGTGTATATTTTTGAGAGAATTCTTATAATGTATTCTTTAGGAACAATAGGAACAATAGATCAATGCATAAAATGGTATATCTATATAAGTTATTAACTAAAATTATTATATTTTTTTTTTATTGCAGATAATTGTTATATTTTCTCTGTTTGCAATCTATGTAAACATTTTATTAGATTAAGAGCATGAGAATTTAACAAAATTGAAAAGTAGGCGACCTAATTGATCAACACTGCATAGAAAATGATAAAATTTCTGTATAGTTATGAAACTTTTTTAAAGGTTAATCTGAATTTTACATAAGCTGTATGTGAATGTATCATTCTTTTAGTCAAATCTATATGAAAAAATCGTTTTAAATACTTTGAAATTTTTAGATGCACTTGATGTAATTATTTTTATAAGAATTTCCAGGGGGTTAATTATGAAAATTTCTTTTAAATAGCTGTAATTTTGTCATTACTATTTAAAATCATCTATGTAATATTTTTCCTAAAGTGTTTTGAATATATTTGTATATATATATTTATTATATTTATTTATTTAATTTTTGAAAAATTCTAAACAGTTCGATAATGATATATAAATAATATCGTGAAGGGCTTGAATTAAAACTGTAAAGATAAATATTTGTATACTTTTTAAAAACAAGATTACTCAATAAAATTAATATATTGTTTGGAACTTTCATTTTGTCGCTTCAAGGGTAAATATTTATTTTTACTTTTATTTTTTCTTTTGCAAATCCGTTAATAAGAAAATGTTTTCTCTTTCAATATATTTTCTTTTACTAATACTTCTATTCAACAGTTTCTTGTTTTTTTAAATTAACGTATAGAATACCACACTCTAAAATTTACGTGATTTTCTCTCTGCTAGTTTTTTTTTATTATCCATAGGGCCTATATATTTTTAGTTTAGTTAAAAGCATATGATTTTATATCTTAAGAGATAGTTTGGAGAGGAGATGCTAACAATTTCAAACTGATGAACTTACAAACACCCATCCGGTCAATCACACGAATCTTTCTGAAAATAACAAGGTATTTGAATAATTATAATGGCAAATATTTCGAATGAGATTCCAGCACGACTGCATTCGTCTATGAATGTCTTTTGTAACATTTGCTTTATATAAATCAATTTAATTTGTTTAAATTTATAATAAAATATAAAATAAGTTTTAATTCGTTTCGTTGTTAAGAATAAAACNTCAAAAAGTTAATTAAGTATAATTAACAAATTAAATTATTTTCCTATGCATTGTTATAAATTTCTATTCTAAGTTTTAGAATAGACAATTATGTTAAGAATCCATGTAGTTATATTAGGACCTTCTATTATTAATCGTTTTCGATTTAATGGAGAAAAACCATGTCCATTCGGCGAAATCCCCAGAAGCGAAAAACTCCAGTCCGGTAGGTTCAACTCAGCAATTCAACAATCCGGTTTGGTCAGTAAAATGATGGCGTCACAATAAAAGATTTTCCAACTCTCATCCCTCTCAAGACCGAATCATCTTTATTATGAGATTATTTAATATATTCTAAATAAATAACCTAAGCATACGTATATAATTATACACGAACTAAGTCCTATGCACACAATTTAAATGCTTTACATATAAGTAATGCTCTTAACATTGAAATAAAAAATTATTATAAATATAAAAATTGACTATAATAATAGTTTTAAGCTAAAATAAATAAATAAAAAACTAAAGAAAAATTTAGTTAAATTAATTTATTAGGAAATCTTTAGAAGCATTAAAGGATTACTATTTTAATTACACATATATAAAATATGAGTTTATGTAATTGCTTTATCGTTCAGTGATGTGAAAATACGATTAAATCACATTCTCCAAGTCTGAAAACCTTACAAGTTATATTCAATAAATACTAATGTCCTAAATTTAAAAATTCGGTTCGCGTATTACTTTGATAAGTTTCTTCCTTATATATTCAGTTCACGGTGTATTGGAGTAAATCATTCCTATATAAATTTATAATATAAATATTTTCGTTCACTTAACAATTTCATTTAAAATAAAGTTAATAAAAATTGTAAAGTACACTTAAGTCTATTCCCAGACTATTTAGTACAGTTAATGTTAGCCCCAAATTAACAATTTATATTGAAATTAATTGTCCTCTATAATATAGTATTTCAATAATTTTGTATTATTTCTTATTTTTGATTAAGATATATTTTAAATAATGAAAATATTTTTTTAATTTTTAAAAGTATTTTTTATATATTAAATTCGTTTATGCTATTTTAAATTGCCTCTCATTTGTCCTAATTTCTTTCAGGTCCTATAACAAAACTACGGCACTATCTACTTATAAGGCAATCATCGCTTATCTGAACTCCTCTTAATAGCACTTCTAACCAATTTTCACAGAAATCGGGACGAAAGTGAAGTGGGTAATTACGTTTATAATGGTCTAATTTGGATTAATGGGATACGATTAAAGAAATATATATATTCTATCAACATTATTTCAAATTTATATCTTAAAATTTTGTTAAAATTTACGTAAATGAATATACGAAACGAATAATTCATATATAATTTCATGTTATCTAGAGTCAATTTTCTGATCGAATATGCATGCAGAGATATCTTCAGTGCTCATTTATTTCATCAGATTTCAATATATATATTCTATCAACATTATTTCAAATTTATATCTTAAAATTTTGTAAAAATTTACGTAAATGAATATACGAAACGAATAATTCATATATAATTTCATGTTATTCTCTAGAGTCAATTTTCTGATCGAATATGCATGCAGAGATATCTTCAGTGCTCATTTATTTCATCAGATTTCAATTTTAAATTATTATTATTAGCCTAATTTTGTTATAAAATTGAATTCTCGTAAGGTCAATAAATGACTCGAAATCTAAATCTATTTATAATGATA